TAATTCTATGTGGTATTCCTCTTTATTTTATGTTGGGAAGACTCAGAGTTTCAAATGTCATTGAACTGGTGAACCTACTTCATAATGAAAAGGAACCTTGTAGAGATTTCATCCTTCAAGTGTGTTGCTGAAGGAATTTCTCTCATTATTTAGTTGGTACCACTGAATTATAAAGCTCTGTCTGGATGAAATCAAACTTACATTTTAACACACAATTAAAACATTGAGAATTTACTTAAATTTTATACTAAAGACCACACATAAAATCTCCTCAAAGAATATTTTCTGAAGGATGGCCTTATCTTTATCCGTTTTTCCCATTTCACGTTAGCAAAAGAAAGTAGGGACATGACTTAATAATAATTCTTGTTAAAAAATAATTCCAGTGAAGTGTGAATGCACATCAGATTGTCAATTTTCATGCTATGTGAGGGTTTCAGAATTAAGATAATGACTGAGTTACACATTCATTTTTTAGAAAAAGGTTAAATTAATTGGAAATGCAATGCCTCTAAAAATTGTGTTGCAAAAATATGGCTCTTGTGGAAGAATATAACCTTTCCATTTTTGAATGCACCAATAACACAGCATAAACTTTATGAGTATTCAGTTTAAAAATGCTGTACTTATTTCTCTGTTCTTTACGTTTCACTGAGATACATTTCAAATATGGCTGTCTTCAGGCAAAAAGCAAAGTCTTTCTGAGAATCAGCTCACAACTGAATGAATGATGCATAAAATATGTGCTGCCTAATGAAATACTGCTTTCTCACAGCATGCAGAGCCTTCATGAAGAAACAAAAGCAAAACCAAAAAAGAGTATCTTTATAAAGCTATACTGTACACGTAAACCAGACAGCAAGATTTGAATCCATTTTCAGAGAGAAAGCTTCCTGGTAAGGCCTTCCAGAATCATGAGACTATAAAGTGTAAGAGGACATCCGTTCATTGCAAGGCATACACATATGCAAAAGTAAGAGTCTGTGTCTCTTGTTGCATAAATCCGATAAAAATAAATCACCTTTTGCTCTCCAATCCCCAAATACAATTTCTGATATAGTAACATAAATTTCAGTATGAACTAATTTTCATGCTGGTAGACTAATGAAGGCTTTTCAGAAGAAGTTCATTCCTTTTTCAATTGTCTTGTAAGGAGAGATTCTGATTGCATATACAGTAACAAGGTAACAAGGCACAAATATAACATTTGATACGTATTCTTGACATTCTCTTTCACCTTATACTAGCAATAGTCTTGTTTAAATAATGAGCATGTGATGCTTTTGACAGCACTAACTTTTTCTAAATTAAAAGAAACACATGGAAGACATTAATCTCACGGTCAGAATGTACTTACATTGACAACCTGACTGCAGCTGTCTCAGTTTAAAAACAAGGAACTCAGAAATCATACTGTCGATTAGTGTTTTTACGTGGTAACAGGTTTGATAATCTAGTATACAAACAGAAAAAGTATTCAGGCTTCAGTTTCATGTTTAACTTAATTTGTTTTTACCACATTCACATTTCGAAAATGTTTACATTAAAAATGTTTTACCTTCTCTCCTCCTGTACTCCTATGAACTGAAACTCTGTAAAGATTCCCTTGAGGTGAAGTGATCTAGGAAGACAGAATACCCTGAATACCCTCAAACCTTTCACTAAAATGCATTGTGGCTGAATAAAAGCTGAATTTCTCTCAGTAAATAGTGCAATCAATTCATCCTTTACCAGACTCAGAAAAAGTAGACATGTAACTACTATTGTTATACATAGTTTAATTTCAAGACATATATTATATCTTCCTTTGTACCTGTTAAACTGTTGTACATATTTTTACTGAGAACTCTAACTCAGCACCTCTAAGGGGATCTTCATTTAATGTCCTCCACAAAGCCTTCTGTGTTATATACTGTTCCAGCCTCTGCACAGAAACAAGACCAGAAATGATCACATTAACAAAACGTTCTCTAAAACATACCACACTTTAAGGAGATTTTTATTTTTATTGCCTCCTTTAGTCCAGTGAACTGATAATTAAATGCATTCTAAGACCCAGACATAAAATACTACCTTTTCAGAGTATTTGTACTGCTTTTATCCCTGACACTGGAAATCTATGCAGTCTATGCAGTCATGTCGAAATCAATATGAAGAAGCAAAGACTAATCACTGTACTGTTCGCTTGCTAGCCGTTTTATATTTTCTATGTATTTCAAATAAACTGAGTGACCTATTGCCCTTTTATCATCTGACTGAACCAGCAAAGCTCTAAACCCCAGCCATGTAATGAAAATCACTTGGCTTTTTTAAACTTAGATTTTTTTGGTTTAAAAGTTCATGAATACCCTCTAAGTACTGACATTGCAAATACGTGGATCTGTTTTATGTTTCAATATTTATGACTTGTTTTCTTATATTCTTCTTACATTAAAAAATAAAAACAACTTTTCAGAGTGAAAACTTGAATGTTAGCAAGGTAAAAAATAATTAAGAGAATATTATTTTAAACATTTTTGTAGTTTTATGTCACATTGTATTCATGAAATCTTCAAAGGTTATACATTCAGTAATTTATTTTCTATTTTTCTAATGACAACTGAATTAGACAGCTTAATACTCCTCCTTTCTCCCATAGAGATCATATGGGATGAACCACAATGTCAGTAATCTTTTTGTCATACCATGTCTTCCTCTGTTTTACAGACTGTTCTAAACATTATTGAAATCAATGAATAATCAACAAACTCTGAAATATATAGCACACCATAGTAAGAAATGTATAATAATAGTTAAATGTCAGCATTATTAATATATTACTATTAATAATTACTATTATTAATAATATTTTCATATTACATTCTAGCGCTGGTTTGCTATCCTTATTTACACTCTGAACGGTACAGATAAGACATTTTGGATAATTAATTCATGGCCAGTGATGAACAGTCACTGCAGTGCATTTCACTGAGGTTAGGGCATCAAAATGATTTGTTAGCATTGTGTTTGATCTCCTGGGTATCTGGAGATGACCTAGTTCTCTCATCAGTGTTAAAAAACATTTACTTTTTTAATGGAAATATTTTACCACTGGGTATCTGCCTGATTCTTTAGACTTTTTGATGACAAAACTGAAAGCAGATGACTTTGAAACATGTAGACATGTGCTGTTTGTATCAGTGTGTGTGCTATGCTCCCACATTTTGAGCCTTACTCACAAAACTATTATAGAGCATAGGGGGTTCTGGAGGAAATAGAAATACTGTGGGTGTTTGTTATTCACAAGCACATAAAGCTGTAATTTGTGTGATGCAACAACAGTCAATTATGTGGTCTTTGCATCCTAAGATTAGAGGGGGAAAGATATTTAGCTATGCTATTCTTTTAGTAGTTTTTAAATGTGGCTGGTTCACTGCAGCTCACATCTTTTCTCTTGTTTTATGTAGTGCTGTGGGATTTTAATGCTCACAGGAAAGACAGAATCTTGGTTGCTTAAGTTCTCATTAAAAATAGATAATAGAACCTACAGCATGATAGCGCTATTAACACCAAATTAGGGCAAGGGTTCAGTACAGGCCTAGAGGAGAGAGTTCCTTTAATGAGACACGAACACCCAACTGCCTGAACCAGTATTTCTTATAAGCCTCACATCAAAGAATATGCCAAGCATAACCATGCTTAGCTTCTGAACCAAGAAACAAGATTGTATGGTTACAGCCTAGAAACAAAAGTAGGAATGAAAGAAAAGTACAACAAAAACCCCACTCCAGTCAAAACCAAACAACAGACCTATAGTATTTTACATACCAACATAAAAGAACATTTTCCATTTTTTTAAAGTCCACCTTTTACACAGAGAAAGAGAGGTCAGAAACTCTGAATCGTGACTGAAACCACATAAAAAAAACAGAAGTCAAAATTTCAATTAAAAAATTGCCTAGTTGTTGTTGTTGTTGTTTTGCACACTGCCTGTAACCGTAGGAAAATTGGGATAATTCGATTTTTTTAAATGTCTATTAATACTTATCAGCGTTATTAAATAAAGGAACTCACAGCTTAATTTTTTGTATTTAATATTAAATAATATTTACATACTTCAATATTTCCTTTTTGTGGGTTTTGGGGGTAAGACAAAGCTGTACTGCAGTGGTTTATTCCATTTACACTCACATATGCCTGGAGCTAAAGACAGCACCCACGAAGGCCATGAAAAGACATCAGTTATCCTGGGAACTTGAACGTATTAACACAGAGATATACTGTAAGTAATACTATTAGGCCGCAGCAAAGCCCATGTAAAATATTTGATCTCTTCTGTTTTTACTATATAACATACGTGGAAAAGAAAACACAGGAGATTAAACACTCACATTTAAAGGTAGCATGAAATACTACTCGTTAATTATTGATTTATTTTATGACCATGTTTATTTTTAATTAAACTGCAGTGTATTTTGTATTTGTGGATCTTTTGCTGAATGTTTTCCAAACATAAACAGACTTGAGTTCGACTGTTGTTCAGGCCGTGTGATCTTCACACACGAACTTGGTCAAAACAGAGAAATATGGATACTTTCAGAGCTTTGCAGTTTAGTTTATAACCTGTTTTCACTCATAGGGGTACTTATGAGTGCCTACACTTCCTAGTTTTCATGCAATTAGATGATTTTACTCAGGTGTGGTGCTAGAAAGATACTACCTGATTCGTAAAAGCTTAGCAGACCCATAAATAAAAAATGGATACATTTTACGCGTTAAAGTTGAATCATGTTTGCTGTGTTTACCGCGTGCGAAGTTGCAAAGTTTACAACAGGCTGTTTAAAAAATATGTTCAACTATTTTCATTGTATTATGTTTGCAAAAGTAAATCACGTTTTGTATGTGAATAACATAAAATCTTCTGGCATGCGTTTTCTTTCAAGACAGAGACCCGTGTAAGTGCATAGAATGACGTGCAGGAGAGATCCGATTTGCGTATCCAACAAGTAGTGACTCCTTACCTTACAGTCGCCTATACATGATCTGACTGAATATTCCTCTGATAAGTACTTGAGAAAGAGGAAGTCAAACTCCTCATATTTTTCCTGAGCGTGTTGGTCCAGCCTCATGTATGCCTGGATGCAGTTGCTGCAGACATCCCAATCGTCCCCACCGCCTCTACCCAAATCCCAAATCAGGTTCTGAAGACTGCAATTCAAACTGTCTGGGTTAGCCATCCCCAACAGCAGGTCAGAGATTGTATAAGAATCACAAAAGGAAAGGCTAAAATTCCTAAAATAAGCCAGTAATAACCGTGAAGATAACGATGAAGGTGATGTAAATGAAGATCCAAAGCCTGGTTTTTGCAAACGCAATTTGGTGCAGGCTGACTCCAGATCTTGGTGGTTTTGAGCATCAGTGCAATGAGGACTTGGAGCAGCAGATTTGGTCGAATTGCTTAGAAAAATATCACACTTCCCCTCATTTAGTACTAGATGATCCCCATCAGTTGCTTTGCTCCATGCTTTACGAAAGCCCCTATCCTTGCACCTCAGTTTTACTCCAGCACACAACCACAGGTGATCAGAAAGAAGGACAGTGAAAAATAAGAGGGATGCCAAAGACATTCGCCATTTCTGTGCCCTCTCGGAATCGGCGCAGGGTTTGTCGTTTTGTTTGGGTGCACAACAGATTTTTAACACGGCATCATCTTCCCTTCGATACATCCAAGCACCCCTGATCATATTTTAGGGGGAGACAAAAGCGATCTCCAGTTGGTTTTTCTCCTCTCCAATTTTTCCCCCAAAACAATGTCACCTACCTCCTTTGCAACATGGTGATGGGCAGCATTTTTTCTTGTGATGAAATAAGAAATCAATCCACTTTGCCCTCCTCTGCGTTTAAATTTCAGGACGATCCATTGCAAAGGAAATAAAAGCCCGTCAGAATCTTCCCTATACACCCATAATTTCAGAATGTTGCAAAATCCTGTTCAGCATCCTCAACATCCCCCTTAGCAGCTTTCGGGAAACGCATAGCACTTATAACGAATAAATCTCACAACTGTCATCCTTAACCAAGAGGATAGGTCTTATTTTTTCTTCCGTTTCTGATGCAAAAGGCTGTATTTGCTTCTCGTCATCCTGATTTTCCCCCCTTCTGCTCCCCTTTTCAGTCTGTCGCCATCTTCAGCTTTGCAGAGAACACCTTGAGAAATTGATTAAATTGAGGGGGGTGGGGAGTGGTGGGGGGGGCGCCTGCGCGCTCGCTCAATTCTGTAGCTCCAGTCTCCACTTTCACTTCCCCATTCACACCATCTTCATTCATTCACCACCTCTCGCTTTCATTCATTCACCGATTACCTCTAGGTTTAATGTGAGGCGTCTTAAAAAAAACCGGACACCGTTTCACACGACCCGATAAAGGACCATCACATCAGCAACTTGTGCTTTTTGCAACATTTGCACCCACTGTATCGTATATTCCTACCCAGCAAAACGCTAGAAAGTGTCAGCGTGTCTAACTGTATGCCACCGGATTTTAACCGTGATTTATCCCGCCGCTTCTGCCCATATGCTATCTGATTTAATTAACTTTATGGTACCCAGCTTGTAAAACAATTCCATGCTTATTTTATGTTGTGGTGATCAAACAATTCAACACGACTTCGATCTGGGTGTGTAATGCTAGCTCGTTTTTATGACTTAAAATACATGGTAACACTGCCAACGCTTAATGGTGATATCTCGAAAACAAACACACTTCAGCACAAGGTTAATTTCGTCGTGGCATATTTAGAAGAGCAATGCGTTGTTTCATTTAACGACTGGCCTTGCATTAAAACGCGAAATAATCTCTGTTGAAAAGTACTTTATCGATGATTCATTTCAAAATGAGAAGTGTTGCTCCCATCAATCGCATTTGTGGGAATTAAAATGCTCTTGTAAGCAAATTGACTGTTTTTCCGTTAGTGTGAGTAGGTCACTCAAATGTCACATAAATATCATATTCCGTTAAAAGTAACTCAAAACTAAAATAAACCGAGCAGTGATTTGATGTTTTTTCTCGCTGATATTTGTTTACTCGCAGTACAAAGACGTTTGTTCAAAATGTTGATTTAAGCCTGTTATTGAAGGTAGTGGGAGTAGCACATTTCCTTCGGTTACTTCATTTTTCGATACCGTCTCTTATAGGGCTTTCCTTAAGAACGTTACTGATGAAAATTGAGTTTCTGTTGGAAATGGCCATTCCTGTCTCATATTCTCACATGTTCATAGATTTTAGTTGATAAAATGTATCCGGTCGATTGAATTATTTTTAACTACGACAGGGCAAATGTAACTCAAGTGCGTCCCAAACAACTGGTGCTGAAGGACAGCTCCCACATTTAACCTCTAGAGAGACATTTTCGCCACAGATTCTACCACCCATTACACTTATTGGGTCCTGAAGGATATTTACTGGGACAAAGCTTGCTAATACCGATAAATGTGAATTCTGTGATTTCTGTGGAGATCTAAGCATCAGATACACAAATGCCCAGGAAAACGATGGTATTTTAGCTTGTATGTAAATAATTTCATCTCAAAATGTAATACTTTAAGTGCAACGATTACATTAAAAAAATGTGGGTTCTTTTTTCCCCCAGAAGCTGTTTATTTGCAGGCGAGTTTAACAAATGGTCGTTGGAATTAAGGTAACGTCAGATCACTCATTTTTTAGTTCAAATGAAATATGTGCCAGGATAAAGATTATACCCTTGTCCTAAAATGCATTTACTGAAAATTAAATAAATTGAAAGCTGTTATTAACAACGTTGAAGCACTGATGTATGATAGAGAAAATCGTTAAAAGGGAGAGATCTGTGAGAGGAGTTTTTTTTGCTTGGCTAATACTGCGTGAACATGCATAAAGCTGTTGAATTGTGTTGCATTTGACTTTGTTATGAATCAGTCTATGCAAAGAATTGTTTTAGTTCAGGTGGGTAGCTACGCTAGCATGCGTAGGTTGCAAAGGAACAAGTAATAGGTTTATTCCATGCTGAAAAAAAGAAGAGAGAAAACACAACGTTTCGGCTGTGGAGCCTTCTTCAGGTGTGAGAATTGTTTTGCTCGTGTCAGTAAGGAGCAGGTTCACTTCTTAAATAGGAAGGAACTGTCTCATGTATAAGTGCTGTTGTCGGAAGTGTACTCTCCATTCTTTGTTTCAACTTATATATATGCAAGGCGGACTCTGTATACTTTATACTGATGACAATATTCACATATTTTGTATAATTTTTCATGCACCAATATGTTTCATACAAATATATGGGGGTTGGGCACAGTAGTCCAGTGGTTAGCATTGCTGCCGCACAGTGCTGAAGCCCTGAGATTCTATTCAGGACTTGCGTACTATCTTTATAGAGTTTCTATGTTCTCCCTGTTTTCACTTGGGTTTCTTCCAGGTTCTCCAGTTTCCTCCCACAGTCTAAAGACATACTGTACTGGTAGGTTAAGTGGCTTCTTGGAGTATTGCCCCTGGTGTGAGTGTGTGCATATCTGTGTCTGTGTGTGCCCTATAATAGACTGGCATTCAATCCAGGGAGTACCCCATCTTGTGTCCATTGCTTGCCGGGATAGGCTCTAGTTCTCCTGCAACCCTGAATTGGATGAAGCAGTTAGACCATGGATGGATGGATACATACTTATGCTAGAAGATTGAGATATATTATTCTCCTTAGTTTAAGAGTGGAAGCCAAGCAACATGTAATATTGTGAGAATTGGGTCATTAGTTGTACATTTTGCTTTATGTTTCACATGCTGAGTATACTTATGCAAAGACATACTGATAGGTTAATTGGCTTTTAAACAAAAGTGGCCCTAGGTGTGTGTGTCTGTCTGCCCTGCGATGCACTATCGTCCCATCCAGGGTATGTCCTGCCTTGCATCCCCTGTGACCTGAATTGGATGAAGTGGTTAGATAAATGGATGGATGTAGTGTATATAACAAAAGCATAGCACAGAAAATTGTTTTCTGTATAAAATATTTACATGTTCATAGGGTAGTACATCTCAAGATTGAAATACAGCTTTGAAATTTTGAAAGAGATAAGCATGCTGTGTAATAATTCCCACTTTTTCAATGTTTCAGGCATCATGCAGAGCATTCAATCTGGAGAGTTTGCTGTTTGCTGGCAGCCATGGCTAACATCTGATTCACCCATGACATTTCAGAGGGATCCAGGTGAAGTGATTGTCATGTGCAATCCAATATTTTGATCTGTTTTGAAATACTGTTTTGGCTTGTATGCGTCTGTCATCATGAAATGAGTTACACCCAATGAACCTAGAAATAAATCAAAACAACAACTACAAATTCCAAATCCCCCAGTGTAGTGGTGGGTTTCTGTGAGATGAAAGGAAAAGGATCTGTCAAACAAAAAAAAAATCACCATCAAGCTCTGACTTTATTTTTTTGAACTTCTGACTAAACACAGCCCTCAGAAGTACTGTACATGTAAGTCTTGACACTTCACAGAATTTAAGTTTTACTTTAATCATGTAAAGGTTACTAGACCCTCAACAACTAAAACAACTTTGATGGAACCACCACCTGGAAGTAGGATTAACTTTTATTTGTGGGCCATTCTTTTCCATGTCCATGTGAGGTTCTGTGCTTCCTTTTATAAACAATTCAGTTTGATTCATTTGTCTCTGGGCTCTTGCCAGCATCTTAACAGTCTTGAATATGTAGGTCATGCTACATCTCAAGCAATGCTAAAAGGTTTCTGATAAATTTATATATGTTTCTCCATCTTTTTATAATGGTAACTTTATACTGAACTTGGTCTCACAATCTTGGTTATTAAAAAAAGCAATTAGCTTTCTCCTCATAGTGTCATCTTGGCTTGAAAATTGACTCTGTGATAATCTGTCAACACTTACATGACAATGAACTGAATAATTAGTTATTTGCAGAAACCACACCTTTCTCCCATGAATAGCAATTATTTACAAAGGTAAAGCATGTAATTGTCTGAATCCATTTGTCTATACATGTGATCACCTATTGCAATTTATTTTTTTAAGTATTGTATCTATAAAGGCTTTATGATGGTTATTGACATTTTCCTGTTTTATGTAATATGAGAATGTACTGAATGCGACTTTTTTAACTTTAAAGTAATGATTATTATTTATATGCATGATTAAAGCAAAAAGATGTTACCTTTGACCACAACTTAATTACTGAAATATATTCTGAGGAAAGTATTAACTTTCAAAAATTCAGTGATACAGCAGATTTCCTTTCATGTGCGATCTCTATTTTGAAGAGATGAAGTAGGCTATTGACCACAGTTGTGCCATATACTGAAATATACCAGTGCTGGAGAAATGGTGTATGTAGTGTTAGCATTACTGTCAATTAATAAGACATAATTATGTAATTAATTATATTTTTCATTGCAATAAAACAGTTTCTTAAAAGCTTTCAGGTATAATTCACAATACTGATACCTAATTTGTACTGCAACATCTGTGCTAAAGGATAGACAATTCTGCCATTTGCTTTCTAAAACAGAAAAATGTTTGCTAAGGTATACTTATAGCTGTCAAGCTCCCTATACTTATTCTAGAAACTGAAAGGTTTAGGATAAGCCAGGGCTGAGCTAAATGAAACACTTTAATTTATTACCATAACTATTCTCGTGCCGTATAAATTAATAGACTGCAATGCTATTAAACAAGTTTATACATTACTGCTCCACATAGGCCTCTCTGACACAATAGATAGATATTTTTCAGTTTTATCACATATACAGTATAGTATCTATATAGTAGACAAATTAGTTACATGTTTTCCTCTTAGAAACAAGTATGGAAACAAATGTTATACTGTACATCTGTTTTGTCCTGGTATTCCAGTAAAACATAGAAACTAAAGCTTTATAATATTGGTAGAATTAGAGAAAATAATAATAAAATATGCAAGACCATAGCACAATATAGCCTTGAAAAAAAACTCCAAAGACTCAGTTCAATCAAACAAATGTCATGGATACAGTTAAGATTAGGCATGAAGGCTATCAGTGAGGCCTAATAGGGAAACAGATTGTATTCTTTACATGGATTACCAGGATCATAAACATAAAATAGTGGAGTTGTAAATGCAGGTGTATTCAGTGACATGTCTTTCTGAAAGGAATTGTGGCTTATTTTGTTATGTATTTTCTCATTTAAAATGTTTCAAGCGAA